CGGTCACGTGGTGAAGCCCCGCCCCCTTCTTTACCCCGCCCTCTGCTTCGATCCTCTGAAGCAGGAGGGTAAGTAGCCGGGCCTTCTGACACACTTCCGGTGATGTCAGGGGGTGTGGCCTTCTGTCACTTCCGGTGATGTCAGGGGGCGTGGCATATGCAAATAAGTTATGCTAATGAGTTATGCTAATGAGCTCCGGCAGCTCTTTTTCTACAACAAGACCCCTGCTGACAAGCATAGTGAGGAGGAGGAGAAATTGGATTTATACCCCACTCTTTACTGCCCGAAGGAGTCTCAGAGCATCTTACAATCTCCTTTTCCTTCCCCTCCCTACGAGACACCCTGTGAGGTAGGTGGGGCTGAGAGAGCTCTTTTGAGAACTGCCCTTGAGAGAACAGCTCTGAAACAACCTGTAACTGAACCAAGGTCACACCAGCAGCCACTGGAGTGGGGAATCAAACCCGGTTCTCACAGATTGGAGTCCATGCTCCTAACCACTACACCAAACTGATGATAGTACACTACTGAAGAATTTATAGTGTTTTGACTATATAAAAGTTTAAGCTCAATGTCCAAAAATGCTCTCACACAGATATTCTACTGTGGCTGTTTGGGACTTTCTGAGCAAATGATACTCTTTCCTCTCTTTACTGCAAAAGCTGTTTTCTATTTTCTATTTTTATTTTTCACTATCTCTCATCTAGCAAAATTGAGATATAGGTGGCTAAGATAGCATAAGGAACTGAAGTTTGCAACACTATCTCCATCCCCACCCCCCACCACTGGGTATGTTTGCAAGTTTGCTTGTAGAAAACAAGAGGCATTTATATTTAAAATTTCTTAACTATAAGTAAATAGTACAATTTTATACACTTAAAGTGATGCATTTTTTCCCCAGTGCTGTCAAAGCAGCAAGCTAAGTTTAGCGTTCATAAGAAGCTTACAGCGCCATCCTAAGAATACTTTCCTGGGAATAACCCTCTTGAACAGACCTGAGTAGGATCCTGAGTAAACCTGTTTAGGATTGCTTTCTAAGAACTACATACATTTCAATTCCCACCATTCAAAAAGAAAAAGAAAAGAAGAGGAAGAACGCCGCTGTCTTTTTCCGTAGTTTCAATATTTACAGAAATGTTACATCTCTTGCCCTCCTAACTACTCCAATGGTCTACTCCAGGACTGAAAAGGGGGTCACAACGTTGGGAATCACCCACAAGATGGCCTCCACCTCAGAGGGAGAATCATCTGTGCTCAGGAAGGTGTGTAAACGTTGGCCTTTGGGCACAGTCCACCAGAAACCTCCCCTGCCCGGCTCTCTTCACAAGGTGTGTGTGTGTGTGGAGGGAAATAATCAAAACACAGAATGCTCTAGGCACATCTGGTAGTAATATTTTGCATTTACATAGCACTCCATGAGCATTCAAATCACGTCATGTATATAAAATGGAAGAGAGGAGAATGATGTAAGCCACTTTGGGTCTTTCTTCTCAAAAGGGACCCAAAGTGGCTTGCATTGTTCTGGAAGCATCTATATTCCTGGCCAATTCACTAGTTTCATACTCCGAATGACTAGCGTAACGAGTAATCAACAATGCTGCATACTACGTAGGGCTAAGCCGAAATTGGGAGGATATAACTCTTGTAACCCCCTTTTTATAAAGTGATCTCATTTGGTGATTTGTTTCAAATTTTACTTCTTATTTTACTGTTTGCTAAAGAATACAATAATGTTTGCAAGAGGGTGTCAGGAGATGAGGAAACTTACCCATGGTGCAAGGCCAGAAGGCTGATGCTCCTTCACCTTCATCCATAAACTCATAGCTGACTGACAGTACAATTTTATTATTTTTTAAATTTATTTATTATTAGATTTATGCCCCGCCCTCCCCCAACGGGCTCAGGGCGGCTACAACAGAGGCAATTGCCATAACAACGACTAAAACAACATAAAAACAATCATTAAACAGTATAAAACAGTCATTAAGTAAAGTGCGGTGCTCTTGATGTTAAATTTTCTTAATCCAAGATGAATTCCATTCATCAACCTAACCTGACAACATCTTCAGTTAACTAGGCGTCTGCTCAGGGCCGGCTCACCTCCAGATCTAATCCATCATAGAAGATGGCAACTTGGTGGTGGTACAGTGATTATGGCGGCTCCTATGCAAAGGCCTGGCGGAAGAGCTCTGTCTTGCAGGCCCTGCGGAACTGCGCCAGGTCCTGCAGGGCCCAAACCTGCTCTGGGAACTCATTCCACCAGACAGGAGCCGCCACCAAGAAAGCCCTGGCCCTGGTTGCAGCCAGCTTGATGTCCTTGGGGTCAGGAACCACCAATAGGTGCTGCGACCCTGACCGTAGAGCTCTTGGGGGAACATATCCCATGCAGACGTAACTCCAGTCTAAGCCCGTGGCTTTCAATGAGCTTAGCCTGGAGTGACTCTGTGCAGGGCTGCACTGCAGATCCAGCAGAACGTAGCTGGGGATGCCCACTGAAAGTACAGATGGATGGCATATCCACGCTCAGCTTTGTGTCCTACTGGAAGTAAGGCAGTGTGGATGGAAGATATCGGCCAATTTGGGAGGAGTATTTAAATGAGGATCCAGGAACTGACATCATCCGTCCTGACTGCATTGCTACCAATGGGGTGTACATCCCCGTTCTATATGCAGGCACCACTGATCAGATCTAAATACACATGGCTTGAGCTGGACTGAGATAAATGTTTTTATTGTTCAGCTCTGGTGAGCCACATTAACAGCCTGTTAATCCAGCCTGTTACTCCAGTGACACTCAATTCAGTGGCTCAAGAGACACATGTGGCTATTCAACATGCCACCTGTAGGTCTTCTGAGCACTGCTCCCCAATGTGTCACTTGCCCCATGTTCCCGGGAAGTGGGCAAGGCCCTTGCCTGGTGGGGCTTGTGGCTGCCTCCTTGAAAACAGTCACCACTAGAGGAAATGGCAAGCTCCAAGCCTCCCTGAGATGCAGGTCTCATGCCAGGAATGGAAGTAAACGTGGCTCTTTTGGTTGACGTTAACCGCAAATGCAGCTCTCCAGGAGCTGCGGAGTGACTACCACTGAAGTAAGACAGTTTCAAGTGGGCGCATAAATCTGCAATGCCATTTCATTCATTGTGTAATCCCTGGCTGGACAAAGACACAAAGCAAAGCACGAAAGAATTCCTGAAGACAGTGCCAAGCTTTTGAGGAGGTGCAAAAAGTCACTTAAAATCAGTAAAAACAAAACCCCAACCATGGTGAAAAATGTACGGGCCTCACATTCACTTTTCTCGGAAATCTTTGACTCTGATAACACAGCCAACCTTAGAGTACTGCACATGTGCCAAAAGACCCAAGTCCTTTTTTTTTTTAAGTAGAGGATTGATTCTTTGACATGCGTTAACAACATTGCTATAGCTTTTTTGGAAATATAAAAAGGTCCGATACGGTTTAAAGTTTGTATAGATTCAAGAGTGGCTTTTTTAAGTTGCGGAGAATATTTATTGGGGGGGAAAGTTTCTGTGCCATGCACCCATCTTCACCCTGGGCTTGCCCAACTTGCACACCGTGGAACTGGAAACACACACCCACACAAACATACAAGAAGTTCTGTAAATCCTGGTGTGAATGACAGAATGTACTGCTTTGAGGCTATCAGTACACTAATACTTCAGTTTCGCCAGAAGGGAATGTAGGAACAACTACCGACTTTACACAGATGTCAAACTTGGCTGTCAAATTCACTGATACCAAAAAGTACACCACAATATTTGCCAACATCATTAGTTACAATTTCTAAAATGCCCTTGCCAAGAAGTCTGCTCGTGTCTTCTTTTGAAAAAAACGAAGTTACAGATTTTTATTTTATTTTAGAACACTTCAAACACTAAACAGACTTAATAGCATGTAAAGGTACTCACCATTGGCAGTGCATTGATGGGTGGAAAGGTTCCTGACAGGAGGCTCTGGCTGCAGAAAGATGGGACTGGAAGAAAGAACAAAGAACGGTAAACAAACGGGTTTAACAATTTTAAGAGAGCGTTAGCACATAATAATTCCGTTACAGTGTTGAGACCAGA